GAGGACCAGGGTGCGGGAGGAGGAGGAGGATGAGCAGGAGTAGGATGAGGAGGAAGAGGATGAACAGGAGTAGGAGGAGGAGGAGGAGGAGGAGGAGAAGAAGGAGGAGGCGGTAGGACAATGATGATGCTGCTGATGATGATGATGATGATGATGATGATGATGATGACGATGATGATGATGATGATGAGGAGGAGGAGGAGGAGGAGGAGGAGGAAGAGGAGGTGGGCGAGGAGGAGGAGGAGGAGGAGGAGGAGGAGATTTCTCGGGGCGCGCGATTTCCGCAGACTTTTCGCCGCTGGTTCGCCCCCTCGCGAGCCTCGCCCTCCTGATGCTCACGCTCTTTCTCCTCTCGATCATTTCCCTCTCGCCCAGAAGCGCGCGCCCCTTCTTCTGTATACAGAAACTCCCGATCAACCGCAGAGCGGCGGATGTAGTCATCAACTAGGCTGATGCTGGTGCGTGTGCTGGCAACTGGGACCCACATTGCTACGGAATGCCCTGCCGCGCCCCCGTTCTCAGGACATTGCCACTTCAACTCAACTACGCTAAATTACAGGCGGCGGTCACCTCGAGAGCCACGTCGTGGCCGATACGATAAACAGTGTCTCGTCCAGCTCGCCGCCAGGCAAAAGCGCGGCGCAATGCCCTGCGTTGGGCACTGATCATCCTCTCCTTGTTTAAAGCGTCGACGGCGCCAAAGAAACAGTGCCACAGCAAAAAACCCTAATAGCAGCCAAGGTTTGGAGGCGGATGGACGCCTGAAACGTGGGTTTGCGGAAACGACCTCGTCATATCATAGATACGAGTACGGAGCTGATCTTGCTGATCAGGGTGACGTTCGTGATAATGGCATGGTGGCATGAACGCGTTTGGAACAGCATGAGGGACCAAACGACCCCACTCCTGGCAGCTGGAATGGTGAGAAACCGATGGCCCTGCCACACCTTCTGGACCCAGGACAGCTGGAATGGTGAGAATCCGATGCCCCTACCACAATCTCTGGACTTGCGACGGCCGAAATCAAGCCAAAGAACCATAATGAGTCTAATTTCCCAATCTGCGAGGGCTGAAATCGAGCCAGAACACTCGCCCCCCATTTGTGGAGATTCTGGCGACAAGAATCGTTGAACTGAAATCGATCCAGAGCACCATAGTTAGTCTCAGTTCTGGATATGGGAGGCTGAGATCGAACTAAAACGCTGTAGTGATCCTCACTTCTGGACCACATCGAGCCAAAACGCCATAGTGCGTCTCATTTCTGGATCTGGGAGGGCTGAAATCAAGCTGTAGCACAAGGAAGCTTTGAACTGAAATCGAGCCAGAGCAACTTGGTAAATTTCATGTCTGGACCATGTCGAGCCAGAACACGATAGTGAGTCTAATTTCTAGATCTGGGAGGGCTGAAATCGAGCCAGAATACCATGGCGAGCTTCAGTTCTGGGCCAAATCGAGCCAGAACACCAGAGTGAATCTCATTTCTAAATCTGCGAGGGCTGAAATCGAACAAAGACACCATCGTGAGTCATTCGGGAGAGCCGCCAGACTGGTTAGACGTCTCCGCCCGGCCTCCCATGTGAACATTCTGGTACAGAGAATCGAGCCAGAGCACAATAGTGAGAATCATTTCTGGACTAACTCGAGCCAGAACGCCGTGGTGAGCGCTGCAGGACCGTGACATCGAGCCAAAACACCACAGTGAGCGCTGCAGGGCCGCGCTGCCGGCAGATCCCTGGCCGCGCTGCCGGGCCGGTGAGGCGCCTCCCCCAGGCCCGCTGTGTGGAGATTTCGGCGAGAGGAATTGTTGGCCCGCGAAACGCTACCAGGGAACACCCGAACTCAGGATGGCCACTGAGCTCATCAAGATCTATTAGGCAGAGGCGCACCACAGGACTCCTGGGGAGGGAGGCAGTCAAACGAACAGACTCTGACCAAGCCTGAATCAGCAGTGACATCAGACAAATCCTCCTCCTCCTCCTTTTCCTCTTCCTCTTCCTCCTCCTCCTCACCCTCCTCCGCCTCCTCCTCCTGTCTGGTTCGGTAGGTGCGCAACCTGTAGCGTCCCGCTGGTGCAAAAGAGTGGCTTAGACACAATAGTGAACAAACTGATTTGCATTAGGCGGCAGGCCCCGCAGGCCCACGCGGAACAAGAAAAACGTGAGGAATGAGGTCAGCAGACTGCCCCGAAAGGGCGCAGCATAACGATGCCGACCGCGTTGGTGCAGGCAGGCAGTCCGATCGAGTCGAGGCTCGGCCCAGAATCTGGCGAGACTGTGTGAGACCGCCTTGGTGGAGATGGGGAAATCGAATGACCCTCCTCCTCCTCCTCCTCCTCCTCATCCTCCTCCTCTTCCTCGTCCTCCTCCTCCTCCTCCTCCTCCTCCTCCTCCTCCTAGGGAGTCGCCGAACATGAGGTTCCACGATGATCCACCTCAGCTTGAAAGCCGCATTCTCGCCAGGCTCGAACGGGCCTTCCTCCTCCTCCTCCTCCTCCTCCTCCTCCTCCTCCGCCTCCTCCTCCTCCTGCTCCTGATCGTACTTCTCCTCCTTCTCCTCCTCCTCCTCCTCCTCCTCCTCGTCCTCCTCCTCATGTCGCCTGGCAGGCCGCGCACCGTGGGCAGCGGCAGTCGAGCGCGGGCGCGCCGGGAGGTCTCTCTGCACAGCCCCAGGAGATCCCAGCGCCAGTCATACGGGCCCTTTGCCGCCCTGACTACACGTGAGGGGGAGAAGTGAGAAGGAGGAGACCTTCTCAGAAGGCGGCGGGGCTTGTCAGAAGCTCCCCCGCCTTCTGAGAGGTTTTCTGCGCCTTCGGGGAAGGCTTAGAAAGCTTCTCAGAAGGCCGCGGGACTTCCGAGCCTTCTGGAAGGCCCGCCCCCTCCCGCTTCGCCGCCGGGGCTGGCCGCCGACGTGCGGAAATTGATGCTGTCCAGCGCACTCCTCTTGGCCCCAGCGTCGCCGAGCCCTGGACCAGCCTCGCTCGGGCTGAGCGCCTTGGGCCTGCACTCGCGGACTCGCTCGCTCCCGCACTCGAGGAGAAAGCGGGGCCACCGCCATCCTGGCCCCTCCGACCTCCACAGAGTGCAGATCGCACGTGTTAAAGCGTCCGGCTCCGCTCCTCTGCCGCCCCGACGACGCGTGGAGACGACGTCCCCGTCCCTTTTGGGCGGCGACCGCCAGGACGACGTCCTCGTCGCGACGGAAAGGACGCGTCGCAAACCTCAGAGCATGCCCGTCCTGGGCGACGGCCGCCAGGACGACGTCCCTGTCGCGACGGAGCGACGCGTCGGCAAACTTCAGAGCATGCCCGTCCTATCCTCCTCCTCCTCCTCCTCCTCCTCCTCCTCCTCGTCCTCGTCCTCGTCCTCCTCCTCCTCATTCTCCTCCTCGTCCTCCTCCTCCTCATCCTCCTTCTCCTCCTCCTCCTCTTTCAGGACGACACCCCTGTCGTTCGTTTTCGTTTTGTTTTTCGCTCTTCCTCGTTTTGCCTTCGCTTCGCCTCGAACGCAAAATGCAACGAACCACAAAACCGCCAACGATGTGGCCAAAACACCGTTTGGGTCCAGCCCTGCTTCAGGACAACGTCCCTGTCGGCCTGTCGCAACGCGTCGGCATAGAACCGAGCACAAAACATGCCCGTCCCGGGCGACGCCCGCCAGGAAGAAGCAAGCCCCCGTGGGACCTGAGGCCTGGGTGGTCGCGCAATAGAGCACACCGGCTCCCAGGGACGGCCGCCGGGAAAAGCCGCTGTCGGCGGCAAACGCTAGAGCACGCTCGTCCTGGGCGACGGCAGCCTGGACGACGCCCTCGGCGCGGCGGAGGGACGCGTCGGCATACTGCAGAGCCTCCCCGGCCTCGGCCACAGCCGCCAGGACGACGTCCCTGTCGGACTGGAGGGACGCGTCGGCACACTGTAGAGAGAGCCTTCCCGTATTTTGCGGCGGCCGCCAGGATGACGTCCCTTTCGGACGGGCGACGCGTCGGCATACTCCAGAGCATGCTCGTCCTGGGCGGCCACCAGAGCGACGTCCTCGTCGCGACAGAAGAGCGCGTCGGCATATTGCAGAGCATGCCAGTCCTTTGCGACGGCCGCTGAGACGAATGCCCTATCTGCCTTCAAAGCGTCATCTGTGCCTGCACTGAGCGTGACATCTGCTGTCGCAGCCGCAGAGAATGGGCAGCACAAATCCTCAACGAAACAAGCAAGCGCAGTGCGGCCCACACCACGGTAAGAGCAATCGCGACGGGCGGGCCCTGATCCAAGTGGCCAGCCCATACCAGGGTCGCCCCTACGGCGGCGTCCAGCACGTCTTCATGCCGGCACGCCCCGAACTCCAAGGGAAGAGCCGTGCCAGGCATAGCGACTCCGTCGGGTAGCCGTTGGACACGCTGCGTTTTGCCCTCGTCGCCGAAAGGGGCGAACTGGTGCGTGCACTCACGGGCCGCAAGTTGACGCCCTTGTCCACGCGATATCTCCTCGATCGTGTCGAGCCTCGCCGATACCAACACCCAAATCCAGTCGTTGCCAACATCCCCTTACGGAAAATATCGTGTGCGGCTTGGAACAATCCAGCGCTCCGCTTGAGCTCGTTGATTTCAAATATACCGATTACAAAAGTCACTGGGGCAAAGACGTAAGCAATCCAGAATCAACGCGGTTCTTAGACCACATTGCTGCTGGAGGCTAGGATTTCGGCACATTGGTGACAGGCCAAACCTTGGCTGCTAGCATCTCTCGCGTAGCTCCTCTCGATAGGTTTCTGCAGTTGTCTGGGAGCTGGAACTGCTTACGAAGGAGGATACGAAGAAGGGTAAAGAAGGAGAGGCAGAGGGAGAAGAAGACTGCCCAACTCCATGATCCATGACCGCAATTGACGCCGCCTCATTTTTGGCTCGACGGCCTCCAAGATTGCCCCAAGATGGCCCCCAAGGCCTACCAAATGTACCTAAGAGACCCCCCAGATGGCCCCAAGAAAGTTCCAAGAGACCCCCAAAAGGGCCCCTACCAGGCCTCAGAGGCTTCCAATACGTGGACGGTCCCAAGAGGGCTCCAAGATGATCCTAAGAGGCCTCTAACAGGCATCCAGAACGAAAGACCCACAAAGGCATTGATGGTTGACTCATGTCGTCGTCGTCCTCCTGGGAGAACAGCCCGCGAAGGAATGCAGTTCACTGTTGGACCGGATGCTGCTGCACATCGTTGATCAGGGCGACTCGCCTGCTGATGCTCTCAAAGGGGCCCGTGGGAATGCGCCAAGCGTCGAGAATCACTTGTAAGGAGAAGGATGGGGGAGGAGGCGGAGGAGGAGGAGGAGGAGGAGGACGAGGAGGAGGAGGAGGAGGAGGAGGCAGAGGAGGAGGAGGAGGAGGAGGAGGAGGAGGAGGAGGGAGGAGGGAGGAGAGGAGGAGGAGGAGGAGGAGGAGGAGGAGGAGGAGGAGGAGGAGGGGGAGGAGGAGGAGGAGGAGGAGGAGGAGGGGGAGGAGAAGATATTACAATCCTAGGATTAAAGTCCGCTGGACGTCAAGACAAGTGGGAAGGGCCTGCCTCAGCCCGCAAGGCCGCCCATGTATGTTTACGCTCTTGCGGGCGCCCGGGCCGACCTCCCGCCTGCCTCCGCCCCCGTCGGCGGGAGGTGCCAATCTCGTTTGCTCCTCCCAACTGGAGGCCCCCTCTGGCGACTCCTGGGTGTCGCTCGCCAGGGAGACCCACCTGCCCCTGCACCGACCTTGCAGGCGTGCTGCAGCGAATTTTTGCGGGGATTTCTGACAACACAGAACCCCGAAACGGCGAGCGAAAAACGAAGTGAATTTCGCATGGACTTTTGTTGAGCCTTCATTCCTGGCCGGAGCCAGAAAAACTCCGCGCGAAATTCCCGTGGAAATCTGGAGCGACATTCTCCAGGGCACTCCGGGCCCATCCTCTTGTTTTCCAAGCGAAATCCGCTCTGCGACGTTGGCGTCATGACACGGAAGGGGCCCTGGGACACACAAATACATGGACACAAATAACATGATTCCCCTTATTTTCCTATATTTTCTGGGTTTTCGTCTTCCCCCCCAATTCCCATATTTTCCCATGTTTTCCTGGGAGTCGACGATCAATTGTGTCCTTTGTGTCTCTTCCCCTCCTGGGAACCCTGCCCCCAGGATCTCAGCCCGAAGGCGGCGCCTCCCGATCCCTGGGCGCCGCTCGCCACCAGGACGCGCCTCCTCCGGATTGGTGCTTGGCCCGTCGGCAACACGAGCGCTCGTGACCCAGCGATGGCACGCCTCCCTCCGTGCCCTCGAAGATACAGTGGAGGCCCACGCCAAGACCCTGCTTGCCTGCAGGGTGCCTCGGGTTTCTTGGGCGTCGATGGCTTTGCGATGGAAGGCGCGACGCTCCCGCGCCAAAGACCAAGGGACGTCCTGGGGTCTCAGGCTGGTGGGTTTCTCGTGGAAGGCTCCTTGTGGACTGGCCTCCACTGTAGCCTCCAAGCAACGTGCACCTTCCCCTCGCCGGTCGCCGGGAGAGAACACAGCAACAAGCTGCACAGGCATAACTCCGTGGAGGTCCGCGCGGACTTCTCGGCCCGGCGCCGCCGCTGGACCGCCCCTCCCCAGCGCCGATCCAAGAAGTCCGCGCGGACCTCCGAGAAAGCCTTCTTGCAGTCGGGCCCAGGCCAGAAGAACATCCCTCAAGAACCTGAGACCCCTCCGTCGGCAAACAACACGCAGGAACATCCAAGGGCACCCTCCCCAGGATTGCACAAGAGCCTCCGGCACGCACGACGAACATGGTAGGGTACCCTCCCTGAACCGACCTCGACCTTCTGCCTCGGTCCGACGCCATCCTGATGCAAGCTGCTGCTCTTCGACGGAAGGCCGCCGTGGCGCAAGGGGGGCGTGGTGGCGCCGTCTCGCCCTTCCGCAGGGCCCTCTTCACAATCCTCATGCACGCGGCGTTGAGCCTGACCTTGCGGGGCCGGGGGGCGTCGGAGGGCGCGGGATGAGCACCAGAGCACACGCGGCCTTGCCATCGCTCGGATGCCCCGCGTGCCGAAGAGCACGCCCAGCCGCGAAAACTCTGGCCATGATGCGTGCGCTTCTCGATGGAACTGCGAAGGTCGAACTCTGCGTCAGTTTCCGTCCTCCCCGCCCGGGGCCAGCGGGCGCCGCGCCTTGTCTGTCAGCGCCGGGTTGTCCGCGTCCTCGGGGAGGGGAGGAGGACGGATGGAAAAGAGGGAGGGAGGTAGGGGAGGAGGGAGGGGGGGGAGAGATGGAGAGGGATGAGGGAAAGAGGAGGACGAGGGGGGGAGACGGGAGGAAGGAGGCGAAGAAGGATGGCGAGGGAGGAAGAGAGAGGAGGCAGCCAGGAGGAGGAGGAGGAGGAGGAGGAGGAGGAGGAGGAGGAGCGCCAAGTACACTGTAGGCTTGAAGGGTGCCTAATCTTATCTGTGGGGATGAGGTGACCATCAGAGACGTCATGGAGCCTGCGGTGGAATTAGGAGGGTTGAGCGGGGGGGAGGAAGAGAAGGAAGAGGAGGAAGAGGAGGAGGAGGAGGAGGAGGAGGGGGAGGAGGAGGTCAGTGGGGGCTCGCTATATGGTTCCAGCCATGCCAGCGAGCAAACCATGAGGTGGATCGGCGTGCGTGGATGTCCCATTCTCGCGATACCGCACTGGCAGGCGCTGGGTGTGCGCCCCAGAAGATTGCCAGAGGAGGGGGGGCCCGAGGGGGAGGGCGGAGCAGGGGAGGAGGGGATGTCCGACATCCGCCTGCCCACACGGGCACCGCCCGAGTCGCGACGAGGAGCACGGGCGCCGCGGGCCTGGGCCAGAGTCCGACGGCGCCCCACGTGGACTCGGGCAGCTCTGGGAGCGTCTGAAGACGGTCACAAAGATGGGCCCACAGCAGCTAGACGGCAGCCTGCACGGCTCCACGGTTGCTCCAACGATCTCTGCCCCCGACAGCCCTCCAAGGCAATACATGGGCTTCTGGCCACTAGCAAAGCCAGAGGGGAACATGAAGCTCGCGTTGGCTTGGGCTTTTACTTCCCCAATGGGTGCCTCGAGACCCAACTTTGCCCGTTCTCTGGACCTTCCTCGGGTTCCTCGGGTTCCTCGGGATCCTCGGGTTCCTCGGGTTCCTTGGGTTCCTCGAATTCCTCTGGTTCCCCGGCAATACGAAGCAATGCCGAGCAATGGAGCAATGCCGAGCGATGCCCAGCGATGACAAGCAATGCGAAGCAATGCCAAGCGATACCAAGCAACGCGAAACAATGCGAAGCAATGCTAAGCAATGCCAAGCAATGCCACTGCGCCCATGCAATAATTAGGAGGCTTTCCTTGGCCTCGGATGCTCTTCCGAACGAATGCAATGGTCTCGGGGGGTCCTCAAGATGACCCCCGTGCCGCTCCAGACGTCCTCAAAGCGGGCCCAAGAGCCCTCCGAAGGCCACCCCAAGACAGATGCAGGATCTGCCAGGACTGTGCCGAGACATCTCCCAGGGAACCCAGGATGACCCGAACGAATCTCCAAGACCCCACGCAGCCACATCGGACCGCGCGAGGGCGCCCCGAGACACCTCCAGCAGCCCTCTGGGGCTTCCACCACTCGCTCACGATAACCCGCCCGCAGACGACCAGTCATCAACAGAATGCGGCCTCTGTTCTGCCGCAGCCGCCCGCGGCCCCCACTGCTGCGAGTCTACCGCTGGCGCGGACTCCACGGGCACGGCCCGCCTCAGAGCACGCGGGCGACCCGGCTCACTCGTCGTCGCCGTCCTCCTCGACGGCGGCGGCCTGCACGGCCACGGTGTCCAGCTCACGCTGGCCCTCCTTCGTGATCTTGCGGCCGCCGTTCTCGTCCTTAGGCAAAGGAAAAAGTCATATCACACAAACTGTTGGCGCTCCGCGCGGACTTCTTGGATCTGCGCTGGACCCCCCCCCCTCCCTGGCGCGCGGAGCGCGCCAGGGGCGGCGCCGGAGGCGCCCCCAGGGGGGGGCCCAGCGCGGATCCAAGAAATCCGCGCGGAGCGCAGGAAGTTTCTGTCTATGGCGTTTCTTTCTTCTTCGAGTCTCGTCCTGCTCCACCAGGCCCATCTCCTCCAGCTGCTGCAGGACGTACCTCCAGCGGACGGGCGAGACTCAAGGGCAGCAAGCCAGGCTCAGACCGTCTCCTGTGCCTGTCCTTGCTGTCGGGTGTCTTTCTGAACTTCTATGTTTGAATCCTATTCTGAGTGGTCTCCCACTCTCGAATTTACTCCAGAGGGCAACAAATCCACCCCCATAATAACCACCCCGACACGCGAAGCCGCTTACTAAACGCCCCCACTGAAGGAATCGAACAGGGCAGGGCTGTTTAGTAAACGCCCGAGGCCGTTCAATGAACGCCAAATGTCTGGTCTGGGTGGATCCTCCTCCCTTGATATTTACAGCTTTCAGCGACGGACGTCTCGGCTCGAACAACGATGAAGGGCGGCGCAGCGAATTGTGATTTGAGGGAGTTTCCGTGGAACTCACGTCATCCTCACCCCCGGCGCGAAGAGCACGAGCCCAGAGCGGCCTCCGGCACCGTTTCCGGACAGATCCGGCGGATCCGCGGACGAATCCCAAACCGGCGCCCTCGCTTGAGACATCCCACAAAACGGGCCCCCCAGGGGGAAGTTGCCCACAGGAGACAGAGCGGCCCTCCGGCACAGTTTCCGGACAGATCCGGCGGGATCCGCGGACGAATCCAAACGGCGCCCTAGCTTGAGACATCCCCACAAACGGGCCCCGGGGGAGGTGCCCACAGGAGCCCAGAGCGGACCTCCGGCACCGTTTCCGGACAAGATCGGCGGAGGATCGCGGACGAATCCCAAACCGGCGCCCTCGCTTGAGACATCCCCACAAACCGGGCCCCGGGGGAGGTGCCCACAGGAGCCCAGAGCGGCCTCCGGCACCGTTTCCGGACAGATCCGGCGGATCCGCGGACGAATCCCATACCGGCGCCCTCGCTTGAGACATCCCCACAAAACGGGCCCCGGGGGAGGTGCCCACAGGAGCCCAGAGCGGCCTCCGGCACCGTTTCCGGACAGATCCGGCGGATCCGCGGACGAATCCCAAACCGGCGCCCTCGCTCGAGACATCCCCACAAAACGGGCCCCGGGGGAGGTGCCCACAGGAGCCCAGAGCGGCCTCCGGCACCGTTTCCGGACAGATCCGGCGAATCCGCGGACGAATCCCAA